GTTGTGGACATGAGTGGTGTGTTAAAGGGTGTTGTGGAGAAGGGATGTGTGTTCAGGTGAGTTGTGGATAAGGGATGTGTGTTCAAATGAGTTGTGTATAAGGGATTTGTGTTCAAGGGAGTTGTGGATAAGGGGTGCGTGTTCAGAGGAGTTGTGGACGGGGGATGTGTGTTCAGTGGACACGGGGACTGGTGATGTGTGTTGGTGTTGTGCAGGGATGTGTGGAGTTTGTGACGGAATTGACTTGCTGGTAGGTTTACCGTAGTACTGAGCTGCATATTGGTTGACGACAGAAGAGTTACAGTGAGGCTTGTCTTCCTCCATATGTGTCAGACACTGTAATGTGTGGATGAAATGAGTCAGAATTTATTTTGGTAAATTTGAAAAAAAAATATTTGTATCATTTTGTTAGGCGGAACATATGTAGTTTGGTCCATAGGGCCAGTCTGGCATTCTCTGTGTGACAAATGAGCTTTCTTAGAACAATTAATGACATAGTGGAAAGAAGATCGCTTGTTGTGGCTTCAAGAGTTTCTGCGTTTTATCAACTGGCGCATCACCTTGTCCTCTTTTCAGAGTTTTGGAAACCAGGGTAGAAACTTTAGTCAATATTTCGATAACCTTATTGTTTGAGTTGCTGGTTGAACTGAGGAAGTAGTTGCTGATCCTTCTCTGCTTACGAGATGATGATGGTTTCTTCAGGATCTTCCTAGGTTTGAGAACATTCATCTTCGGTGTTGGTTGCTCCTTAGGAGATACATATATTAGAATGGGCCCAGACCTGTGTCCCCCCAGGTCAAAGATGCTTCTTGAAAGGATGGTTGTTCGCTATGAGGTTCTCCATGTACGTTACCCGATCATCAACAACAACATCGGGCCAAACTCCCCATCCATGTTGTGTTTGGCTTTGTATTGGTATCAGTAATGTTACCACAAGCTGCAAGTGCACAAATTTGAGATACATAAACAATTATCAAACATAGCATGTGCACATATCTATAAAGTATCAGCCTAGTTGTGATGGAGAAGCAAATGAAAAAAAAACAAGGACAATGAGGTTCTTACATTCTCCCCTGCTTCCACATGTAGTATGTCAACGTAGTTAATGTTCGAGTGAAGAGGACGATGAGGTTCTTCAAGTTGACTTATTAAGAGCGTGTCTAAGGGGTTGAGATTATAGTCTGAAGTTGTGGGACAACTTGAAATGCATGAAGTTGTAATGCTAGGGGGACTCCTTGAGCCTGGAAGTTTCTTGCCTCAATAGACGGACAAGCTCTCCGATTGGGTCTTGATCTCTTGGGTCTTTGCGGGCATTGGGAGGTTTCATGCAATTGATGGTCTTTAGAAAAGACTCCCTGTCGCAAGGGTGTTGGCACAAAGCAGCGACGTTTTAGACCATTTTGACGTAGAGTAGGGTGTGTCTTCTGTTGATGAGCGATTAGAACACCGTCAACAATTAATATTAGAACTATTTGCAGCTTCTTCCACCCTGGCATCCGTACGTCGGTCTCAAGCTTGTGGTGCAGCTTAGCAATGGTAATAATTTTTTTCTTCCCAAACAGCTTGATCCAGTCAGGATATCTGATAACTTTGCTTTGATCTTCTAGTTCAGTGTTGTAGTTTGTAGGGAACTCTCCACATGGCAATCCTATAATTGTGCCAAACTCTTGAAGTCCAAATTGGATGGGATCGCTACAGAAGACTGTCTAGAGTGTGTGACTATCCTCGTAAAGTAGTTGTCTGGTGAGAAAGGTGTGAATTAGTTTACACGAGGCATACATTGACGTGCTGAGAGCTCAAACTACTTCCCGAAATAAGAGTTTTTGATGTACTGGAGCTCCTTTGTTTTCCTTAAGACATGCTGTACGAAAGGTAGAATGTCTGGCTTGGAGTAGATGTTGAGACGAGCAGTGGGGAACCGGTCTGTCGCAAACAACCTCACTGGGAGGCGGTTATCATATTTTTTGTTTCCTACAGCAATAGATCCGGAAATCCAAAGATTATTACCGTTTGCATAAAACAAACAAAACAACAAACAAAAAGAGAGAGCATCACAGAAAATGCAAACAAAAAAAGAAAAATTTTAACTCAAGAACTCAACTATGGTCGTATAAAACTAGGAATCTCTCATAGTTAGCTGCATGCAATAAAAAATGGAAGGTAAGACATAACTCAACGACGAATCTCAAGAAGAAATCAAGAAATTGATAATCGAACCATTTACAGACAATTTAAGGAACCAGATTCAGAAAGTGTTTATTTCGAAGTGATTTACCTCGCATGTCGGAGTGATTTAAGACTAGATTTCTTACTGGCACGTGAAATCGACGAGTCTAGAACTAGGATTTTTTTTCTCTGCTGCAATTGTTGGGAAAAAGGGAGAAAACGAGGGGAAATGAAGGAAGATGCGATAATAATTCTAGGGTTTCTGGTATAATCTGGTCTTGGTTTGATTGGGTTTAAGGAAATAGATGTCTGTTTTGGTTTCATTTATTGTAAGAACATCAATGTCTCTAAGTAGATAGAAAGATTGTCTTAAGTATAATGTGACTTATCATGAAATATTTAAATTAAAAAATCTCTTGGAGAGTAAAAAAATCTATATAAACATGATATTTAAAATTTACTTTTACGGTAACTGTAATGACAAAGAAAGAATTAAGGCACATACAAACATGAGATTGCTAGAGGCACGGATACGGAAGCTAGCTCACTCCTATTGCTGGATCTTATAATAGTGGTAACTATCATTAGAACTTGGTCCAAAATCTTAGAGCACAATTATCCCTGTTGCTTAAGGGGTGGTTAATGCATGTGGTCCCACAAAAAACTAAAGCATTGAAGCTTGCGTCTTCAATTCAAGCACAATACTTTTTTAGTGCTTGCACTATTTCGCGGGTCCCACAAACACGTGATGCCCTGCGATTGGTTATTTGTTAATTTTTTTTTTAAATAAAAAAATAAAAAATAAAAAAATTGTTTTTTTAAGCATTCTTTTTCGGGTTTCACGATAATTGTGTTTTTATAATTCAAAAAGAAAACAATTTTAATTGATCGACATAATCGCGAACCGACTTAAAAAGAATGTGGGCTTTAATAGGTTAGCCCAGTATGTAAATCTTTTTTTCTAAGGAAGCGTCTCCCTCCATCGCGAACCCTACCCGAATAAATAAAATATATGGGCTTTACTGGCACGGCCCATCAGAGTGACTATAAACATTGGTTTACTTAACCAAGCCATCTCCTCTTTCAAAACCCTAGTTTGTTTCTCTTGTATAAATTGCAGTGCTCTGGCGATATCCACCACATAATCAGTTTCGGGGCTTATCATTCTTTAGTTCCTTTTTAGATGGCTTGGGTTTAACCAAAAAAATGGCGGCTTTGGGGTTTTGTTCTACGTCTAATAATTTATAGCAAAAGTATCATGTTTTGATTCATTTGGTGGTTTGATAAGGATATGATATTCGCACTCTGTTTCGAAGGCTATGTCAAACCGAATGGCATAATCTTTAAGCAACAGTGCATAAAGGAATAGCTGTTAAATCAGCAAGCGGCCAGACAACCGTTGGGATAGATCCACAGATGGAACAGATGTTTCTCTGTTTCATCTACTAAATCTATTCTATATTTATTTTGTTTATTGTTTAGAGTTATGTTTTTTGCACCTTGTATCGAAGGTCATGCCTCGTTCTGTTGGCATGGCCATTTTCAAGGATGCGTAAATGAATAGCTGTTAAGTCAGTAAGCGGCCAGACAACCGTGGGGATAGATCCACAGGTGTGATGCGGATATTCTCCGTTCTCAGCTACTAAATCTATCCCACAATTGGATTCTCATGAATCATCAGAGTTTTATTCGTTTGCAAAATGTGTTAATGTGTTTGGCATGAGTTTGGTTCTTATATGTTTGTTAGAGTTCTCTATCAAAAGAGCCAGTTGTGGTTGGTGGCTTTGTAACGTTGCAGATAAGCGCGGTTGGGATGATGAAGAGTAAAGACTTTCAGATCTACGAAGCTTATGGTCCCCTAACTCTGAAAACTGACAGGGTTTATGAGTTTGTTGACCTGAATGTCTTTCCTTCATCAAAAGAACCTCTTGTGTTTGATGCCTTATAAAAAGTAAAATTAGCTGATTCCAATATCCAGATTCTTCTTTACGGAAGAGGCTTACGTATTTCTGGACGTGCATATCCATGTTGCCACTCATTTTCCTCATAATTCTCTGGATATCCTTTTGGTGTCTGAGGGCAATGTGAATGCTGCTGGACTATTATAGCTATTCTACCCTTTCATTTGGAGTATTCCACTTATAACTGCAGAGATGGGCACAATGTTCCTAGAGAATGGGGATTAAATTCGTGTTGGTTGGATGGCTGAGAGGTGTCATTGGCTACAACCTCTTGTATCCTTGTCTGTTTATTTTTATTTTGTAACACCGGAATCCCGTCTTCAAAATGTGGTTTTGTCACGTGTGATCTTGGTGTGGTCTCTTACGCTTTGTACCTTAACTAACAATAATTTGCTGTGCTTAAGGGTGTGTTCTCGATCCTTACTTTGTATCTAAACACGCTTTTCTGGTTTTTGATCTAAAATAGACGCTTCCAAAGGCTCTGTACTACGGGGTGATCTTAGTCGCTGTACGTTTTTCCGTAGCTGGAATATGAGTTATGATAGGCATTTTTTCTCATGTGGCTAAAGCTCTTAAGTGGAGCGTAGTTCAGATGGTGGGTTCAGCCACATGAAACATGGGAATGTTATTTAGCCGAGATAACTCACGACTCATTTCATGTGGCTAATCCTCTAGGATGAGGATGAAGTATCCTTGCTGCATGGAGACCGTATAAGTAGCCTGTTATTTCCGTTTAGATGTGTTCCTCCCAGTGTACTCAAATATGTTTCCCTCTCTACTTTTAAAACTGGCTGCAGTGTAACTGGTTTCTTGATGAAACCTTGTTGGAATTAGTGAATAATTTGGATCGAAAGAGGTGATCCCATGTTTCCCATGTTTCATGAAATGAGTAGTGAGTTATCTCGGCTAAATAACATGTTATTGACCACCCCTGTAATATTTACTTGAAATTAACCTGCTCCACTGATTTGACCCCATTAAATTTTGTGGCTGGCTCCGCCTTCGTTTTCCCCTTAGTCGATTTTGCTTTCTTGTTTTCTCTCGTTTAGTTGGATCCGAGGTTTTGAGTTTTTGCAACAGCTTTGTATTGAGTGATTTTGTCTTTCATGGCTTCTTGAACAGGTGGGAGATCCACAGAGCAAGGACCAGTTCCTGGAGACTCTGGAAACAGTTTCAGTACTTCCAGTGATATGAGATCAGGCTCGTCTCCTCCTACATTCAAAAATCCCATGAGATCACGCTTACTAAACACCACCCTACCTGATCAAGGCTTACCAAGCACAGTTGGAAGCGGGTCCTCTGCTCCCACTGCACCGAGCTACCAAAGCTTCACTCAGTCTACGTTTTCCAAAGATAACTTCTGCAGCAGCGGTGGGATTTCAAAAGACCTGGACTTTGTCAGAGGAGTCATAGAAGATGATGAAGGCCGGAGAGCCTCAGGGCCAGCGCCGGTCCGTGCCTAATAGAGACCCTACTCAAAACAAAAAAAAACAGAGTGTGATCTCTAGAACCAGCGTTTTGAGAAAGAACTCAAACAAAAGAAACAAAAGACACTAATAACTATCTAAATATGATTCTCCTTGCATTTTTTTCCTGCGAAATCATCCATTAAAGCTGTATAATCGAGTTTCTCAAGCATAGATTTCTAGATTGATAATATAGCCAATCCACTCAATCTTTCTTGTGACATGGTGGACCGCATATAATTCTTGATTAGCTTCAACTTCGAAAAGCTTCTTTCAGCAGAAGCAACTGATACCGGAACGGTCAACAATATCCGGTAAGCCACCCACGTGTTTGGATAACATACATCCCTTCTTTTCAAAAAATCCAACACTTCGATAGGTTTTCTAACCTGGTTTGGTAATGATTCCCGAAGAATGTTTAGCTCCATAAACAAAGCTTCCCCATCTATATCAGATTGTGTACCATGCTTCAGAGAAGATTAAAGATTCAAACACGATACTCTTAAACTTTCATCACTTGTGAGTTTCTTTAAATCAAACAAAAAACCGAAAGTTTTTTCATACTTTTGGAATTGTTCGAACCTTGACTCAAGAGAAACTAGAGCTTGAGCCATGAGTGTGAAGAAGTAATTAATTCTGAAATCATCCTCCGGTGATAATTCCATATTTTCATCCTCTATTTCTGGATCTTCATCAAAATGTTTCTTTCTTCTAATGATCCTCTTCTTTTTCACAGAAAATCCACCTTCTATGTCCATTTCCTCTGCAATTTGTACAGCCTCAGACTTTGGTTTTTCAAATCCTGTCTCTCTATATTTTCGAAAATAGGAAACAAGTCCCCTGTGTTCAGCAATGGCCACATCAATGTCCATGTCCTCTGATTGTAAAATCTTGCTCACTCTATTCACGGCAGCTAGAAGATCATACCAAATAATCATACCAAAAAGAAACTCGAACCCTCCAATCCCATGTGATTCACTCAATGCAAGAGATTCAGCATCACTTCGTGTTTTAGGATCATTGGTACTTTCAGCCAAGCATAGAAAAGCCTCTCTTATTTCAGGAGCCTGGAATTGAATTGCTTTGACACATTTAAGATGACTTTCCCAACGAGTTTGTGATAAAGATTTAAGTGTTAAACCTGATACCATCTCTTTGAATATATCCCACCGGTTTGTAGACGATGCAAACAAACAGTATATTCGCTGAATAATTCCAAAAAAGACATTGCCTTTGTGGAAGAAGATGCTATATCGCAAAGCACGAGATTAAGGCTGTGGCACCCACATGGTGTGTAAAATGCTCTTGGATTAAGTTCTAACAACCTTCTTTGTACTCCTTTATGTTTTCCTTTCATATTAGATCCATTGTCATAACCTTGTCCTCTAACATCATCAATCTCTAACCCAAAGCTAACCAACGCATCTTGAATCGTAGTGAACAACCCTTCTCCTGATTTATCGTCCACTTTCAGAAATGTCAAAAAGAATTCTTCAATACTGGTTAACACTGAAGAAATATCCACACATCGGATGATTAAAGTCATTTGTTCCTTATGACTAATATCAGGAGTACAATCAAGAAGTATAGAGAAGTACTTGGAAGCATGGATCGTCTTTACGATCATAAGCCTAATCTCACTAGCCAACATAGATATCACCTCATTTTGAATCTTGTGACTTAGATAATGAGAGTATATCGCACATGCACCGATTCGTCTTATATGCTCTCTCATCACTGGATCAAACTCTGCAATCATCTCGATAAAACTCAAAAAGTTTCCATTGTTGTTTTGGCCAATCTTCTCATTATCTCCTCGAAATGCTAAATTGTTTTTAGCTAGAGTCTTCACCAATGCAAATATCCTCGTAAGTACTTCTCTCCAATGATTCTTCTCTTTGTTTATTTTTTCTTGGGCATGTTTATCAATTGTTTGATTGTTGTGAAGCCTTAATTCTAACTCTGTCCAACTAGTTAGACAAACAATGTGATCGTGACTGCCTTCATGTTCTTTGAGTCGCTTGGAAAGGTTTCTCCAATCATTATACCCATTAGTTGTCAAGTAACCTCCTCTTTTATCATGTCTGAACAACTTACAGCAAAAGCAAAAGACTTTGTCTACAGATTTTGAGTAAATTAACCACCTTCTATCTTGCTTCTCTCCATTTATCAACTCCCTCATATAAAATGCTTGAGAAAAATGTCTACCAATGCTGTCCTTAGGAAACTGATAATTAGTTGGTAGCCTTGTTGTTGGACCATTCTCAACCAACAAATCTCTTAGTGTCATATCAATGTTTCCTCAATTACCTGGATCAAAAGCATCTGTGGGGAGTTCTTCATCTTGCACGCTTTTGTTCTTCTCACCAACAACTTCATCCTGCTCTTTGTTGTCAAACTCATCATCATGGACCACATCCTCATGATAAACATCTAAATCAGCCACATCATTTTCTGAATCTACATGTGTGTTCTTCATTATTTTCTCCTTGTGTACCTCCAACGTTATCAGTTCCAGAGTTTGCAGGTTTTCTCTTTATATACTTGAAGATAGCATTGGTTGGTTGTCTCATTGATTCTTCTTGCATCTTTTTTCTTTTTCTTTTCTCAGCTCCACTGAGTTGCGATTTAATTCTTGGTGCCATTCTTCTATTAACAAAGAACAAAAAGTTTGATTTAGATTGTATTTTCTATTCTAGCATCACATATAATAATATCAAAATTGCAATAAAATAGTTTATAAAGCTCACATGGTCACATAGCTTAAACTAATAATAAAATCTTAATTGACTAGCATCTAATAAGAATCCTACGGACAAAAGATCCTTTTCAATCGTCAAGCTCAAGGTTAGAAAACGAAAATTCTTTGCCTTGTTGGATTCTTTCTAAAAAAATCTCATATTCACTAAAACTAAAAGAAAGAGAAGAAAAAGTCTTACAGCAAATAATTGATTAATGAAAGCACGATTTGCTTGTAAAAGTCAAAACCCTTACGTTTGATGCAGGAGATGACGGAACCGTAAGAAGGAGACGACCAATTTAAGTTTTGGACTAAAATAAATAAATATTCAAATTAAAGTAGTTGTAACTCAGCCCATAAAATTTTAGGCCCTAAGCTACCGCTTCCTTTGCTTCCGTAACGGGCCGGGCCTTCTCAGGGCTATTCTCTCATTTCCATCGACCTAACGTAGAGACCAACGCTGATATCATCCATATCAAACTGCTGCGGAACAACACTTTTGTCACGGTTACCGATTCCAAAGGAAACGTTAAATGCAAAGCTACGTCAGGTAGTTTGCCTGACCTGAAAGGTGGAAGGTAGATGACGAGTTACACGGCTGATGCGAGGCTGTCTACTATATGCAGCAGACCGTTTATGGTGGATATGGATTACAACCTACCAACCTTACTATCCTCATCAGTAGCCTCTCCATTAGTAATATATCTAGTATACGCTTATCTGGGAAGCGAAGCAATGTGTGAAGAGGTAGGCTCTGTGTTTTGATATTCTTGTACTGAACATTAAGTAATTTTTCTCAAAGGTCCAAATAAAAAACACTTGATATAGTCACGCTGTTTTTCAGTACACCTTTTGTAGTCTACTGATCTCTTGTTTATGAGTTTACTTGGGAGGAAGGGTCTTTATGGATTGATCTTACATTTCTAATCTTTGATTTTGTAGATAACCTGCCAGGATTTACTTTCTTAATGTGTTATGAATGCAAGACAATATAACTTTTTAACACTTCGTTTTGTTAAAACTAGGTTTTTGCCCGTAATTTTGTGGGAAGTTATATTATATGAAAAATATACATTGTTACAATGCTATAATATTTTGAATAATAATTAGAAATATTAAACTTTTAATTTTATGTTTAAGTAGTTAAACAAAATTCTTACAGAAAGTAAATATAATTACTTCAGATAATTGGTTTTGAAATTACTTTATGTTTTATTTTAGCACGTAAACAACGAAAATATTCTAGCCTTCAAACCCTTTTTTTTTGTGTAGCTCCAATAAGATTAATACAATGATCGGAGGCTTTTATAGTGAAGATTTATTGTAAACATTTTTGGTGTGTACTTTAAAAAACATAAAAAGTTCTAATAATTATTTACCTACAAATATAACCAATCAAGTTTTTCTATAGAAAATGTTAAAGTATTTTATTTAATTATATATAAATAGTTGATAAAAATAAATAAATTGAAAAAACGTTATGTATGCTTTCTATAATTTTTGCAATTAGTTACCATAAATCATTATTTGTACTATTACTTGTGTTATTTTGTATTTGTATTAATTAGTTCTAGAGTTACTTTTAAGATTTTATGAAAAGAAATATCAAATAAAAGTCATCAACCAAGCATATTATAACAATCTTTAAAATTTCACCAATACAAAAGTAAAAGTCACTTAATTGACTTTTTAGTAGATTTTGTGGTTAGTTTAATAAAAAATAAGTATATATTCACATAGACTATTAAGACTAATCTATTTATTCTTAAAATTATTTTGGTGATGATACTAACTACCTCAAATGTTGTAATATAAGCAGCAACTAAAACCCCACACTAAGGATAGAATAAAATCTACACCACTACTAGAACCAAACATACTGATAATATACATGAGATTGACTAGCAATCTTTAAAACTAAGCAAAGGCCAATGAACAGAAGTAACCGCTGCTGCCCATAGCACGCCATCTGGTAACCTCCACTTCTACACCTAAACCACGACTTGTCGTTGCTGCTTCACATTCCAAACGAAAACATCAAGCACCGGAGGATTCAAAACTCAACAAGCAGAACCGCTGCTCGGTCTATGTGCCTGAAACTGATGTGACATAATCAAAAACATACAATTCCTTACAAAGAAATCCCAATACACCAAGAAGATGAAGCCTTGCCAAAACCTCACCAGTTTCACACCAGGAGGAAGAAACCCACAAGAAACAACCATTGGATACATTACCCTAGAAGAAAGACTGCTAA